ATAAAAAAATCCTCGTTTGAATCGGTGAGGGGCACGTCGTGCACTCCCCTTGTTAGTAGACATTATCGACATATAGAATGGACTGAGCATTGCGATATGTAAACGCGCGCCTGCTTTAGAGTGAGAGGTACTACATCTGAGGCCTATGTTTGTCTCTCTTGCAAGCTTCTGATTTGTTATTTCGTCCCCCTCCAGAATTCTAGCAGTAACATAGCATTAAATTTTTGACACCTCACCTTCGCCTACTCGCTTTGGAATAACGTGAAACGTTTATCTTTATCTTTAAAAATTAAAAAATGGTTTTAAGGTGTTTTGTGTGCAAAATACGTATGATAAAAATAAAAAGGATATACAGATGCATAAGTAAGTACATTAAAAGTATTTTTTATAGGACATTATTGTAACACATTCTTTAAACATATTGTTTTAAAGCTGTATATAATTATATTATATATACGTAACTTGCATAGTTTTGTTAAATATATATTAAAATTATATATTATATAGAAAAATGCACATGGTCCGTAATTTTTTTAGACGGCCCTGCAAAAAGAGAGACAAACATAGGCCTCAGATGTAGTACTTCTCACTCTAAAGCAGGCGCGCGCTTACCCATCGCGATGCTCAGTCCATTCTATATGTCGATGGTAGACATTAAGGGTCGGCAGGCGACATGGTGGAGACGCCTATCGGCCGGCCGGGAATTAGAGATTCTTATATTCCAGATATTAGCGAAACTACTGAATGAATCTTATTAAATTTATGATATTCTTAATCAGTAAGCTCAAATGCAGTCCGCCAAAGAGTTATTTATTGAAAAAAAGATGAAAATAAAATTTATAATATAACTTGGGGGAATGCGCAGCTAGTAACGGGTAAGGTTGGGTTAGCCAGGAGTCCGTATTTTATTTATTATAAATTTTTCAGAGCAAAAATGCAAAATCCGACTCTTTGGCGGACTACTTTATTATATCAAGAATATATTAAAAAAAAAAAAAACCAAAGTTATGTCACTTATTTTATGAAATATCTGGACGATAAGATTCTCACTAGATTCATAAGGAGCAGGGGAAATTTCCGTGGTAACATACTGACAGCTAACAGCTTGACAAGGAGAGACTATCATTCTGTCCTTGTCTCTCTTACATCGCATATGTAGTAACATCCATGTAGACACAAACACTAATGCGTTGAACGAATGCGATTATTGGGAGATATCAGCAAGAACCGGTTTTCGTATTATCATTGTTTCTCTGTATATGTATATTATATGTAAAAGAACAATAAGAATAGCAATAATTCTTGCCTAACATTATCTTCCAATTATCGTTTCGTGTACGCAATATATATTTCACATTATGCATCTGTAACAAATAATCGAATGATTTATTTAAATATTTGCATATAATCTATATAAATCTATATAATAAATAAAATGTGTAATAAATTATCGAATGATTTATTTAAATATTTGCATATAATCTATGTAAATAAAATATGTACAAATAAAATAATATTTATGCAAATATTATTTTATTTGTGTACATATTTTATTTATATACCCAAACAACACCAAGTCCAAAATTGGCGCGTAAGATATCTTTATAAGATGTCTTTTTGATATCATATCATAAGATAGCTGTCTTAAAGATTTCTTAATGCTATCTTATGCGTCAATTTTAGACTTGGTGCTGTCTGGGTAGATAATATGCAAATTAATATGTTTATATATATGCACACACATAGATATGACAATAGCGTTATCGTGATTTTTTTCGATTATTAAAGTTATATTGTATAATCTCTCTCTTATCTCTTTCTCTCTGCTACATAAATACTATTATAACGTAAAAGAACTTACGAGTAACGTATGATGGCTCAATGCAATAATATTCAATCACGTAAAAAACTTGAGTTCAAATATATCAATATCAATTTTTTTACAATATATTAGAATATAGAAAAAATTATAGAAGTATAAGGCGATAAACTTGAAAATTTTTAAATATTGAAAATATTTTAATCATTTTTACAATTACATACACTATATATATATATATATATATATATATATATATATATATAAATGCAAAATAAGTCCGTAAATAAATTTATCAAGTAATAAATCCGTTGCATGCTTGCAGCTACATATGCACACACAAATAGCTGGTATGTTGATTTTTATTAAAAATTTATTTTCTGTATTATTTTGCATTTATATAGTGTGTATGTGGGTGTGTGTGTGTGTGTGTGTGTGTGTGTGCGCGCGCGCGCGCGTGTAGTAAAAATATTTTCAATATATTTATAAAATTTTTATTGCCGAAATATATTTTTTTATCATTTCTCTGTATTCCAATATATTATTAAAAAATTGATATTGATATATTTGAACTCTAATAATTTACTGGGTGATACATACTGAACATCCTTTGCATTGATCAATATTACTCGACATAAGTTCTTTTATGTTATAAGTATTTATGGAGCAAATTATACAATAACATCAATAATAGAAAAGAAATCAAGAATAACCAACGCATATTCGTCAATCTATGATTGCTATACAAGCTAATAATAATTTATATTCGTTCTCTTATTCTTGTCTCTCGAAAAAGTATAAGCAATAAATTATCAAATCTAACAAGTACCCGTGTCTAACATTGTAGACTAATTTACTTTCAATTATGCTACTGTTATTATTTATCATTAGACAATTATAAAACATATATATATATATAGCACTACAAATTATATATGTATATGTTTTATAATTTATTTTATATTTTATTATTTGACAAGTTAAATCTCTCCGAATCATAATTTGCGCTTACATCTTAAAGACGAAATGCTGTAACTCTCTGATATTCCAATCTGTATTTTTGAAAAGGACCACATCCCGTATGGTCGAAATGTTAAAATAAATATATATACAACTTTAATTTGAGGCCAGTGTAGTCAGACCAAATCTATAACCTCTGTTTTATAATTGTCTAATGATAAATAATAACAGTAGCATATATAATTGAGAGTAAATTAGTATATTTTATATATATATATATTTATATATAAATAATATATCCACATATGTGCATAAGCATATATAAAATTTACAAAAATGGGTGCTTATTAGTCTTGCTACGTTACTGCTTTCTGCTACGGAAGGCCAGAAAGCATTTTTAGGCGGCATCTCGCGTATACCGGCACGGTAGAGGAACAAGGAGAACACGTGATTATCGGTCCTTGTCTTCTTACGTGCGTCCGCGTGAGCGATGCAGTGGTGTATGTACGTGTACAGACATACACCACTACATAAAACCCGAGGATTGATTTCTCGGCGTTGGCAACACTGAAACCGGAGTTTCGCGTTGTCACCGCACGAGGTCTCCAATATCAATTCGGAGTTTGCCTGGGTGTACTGCCGACCCTTAATTGGACAAATTTTATATTTTTTATTTTTTATAACTGCTATCGTTTGGGAATTATTTGGGCAAATTTAGGAATATGTTGCATAATTTAGAAACTAGTTTATTTATAATTAGAGACAATTAATTGAGAGCAAATAGTTAGCAGACATAACTTAAAATAAATTTTTTTTGTTCTAATTAATATTAAATTATTTAGGAAATGTGTCTATAATGTTTTCAACATTTGGGAAATAAAAGTTTACTTTATAATAATTTCAGCTCCGAGAACTTAGACGCTCTTCGACTTTAAAAAATTTTTTAAAAAATTTATAATAAAATTTTACTTACATAAAATTAATTCCCAAGTAGCAAATTAATGTCAAAATGACGCATGTAGACTTAATATAATAATTATAATAATATATGTAATAATAATTACAATAATAATAAATCATAAAAGATGTACAAATTGTTGATAGACTAATATTTTACATTAATACATATAATTATGAATTAATTCTTACATATCTTATATAAATTCTTATACATATATATAATTTTTAAATTTTATATGGCACAAATAGAAAAAAAATATATATTTCTCAAAGATTTTATTCTTTTTTTTCATTAAAAAAGTGGTTATTATAAACTTTCTGCAACACATGTGCAAAAACATTTTTTTAAACTTATACCAACAAACAAAAAAATGCAATTACAATTTATATTCAAATTTATTACTTCTAATTAATAATAAATAAATCAGTAATCAATAAAAAATGATGTACATAAACTAAAAAGTACATAGCTATTGCAAAAAACTATTTTATAAATTTTATTATATTTTTAATTTTGGTGGATATAGCTTTCATAATTAAAAAGTTTTAAAAATAATCGCTATAAAAATATAACTTACTTTTTAAATTACATTTAATTATTGCTATATACAAAGTGTCCCATAATTCGCGAACCATCGCGAATGGACAGATAGAGCGTGTTAAACTGAATAGAAAAGTCCTGTATCATTTTGCGATATTCGCAATAATTATTGAGTTATTAACTAAAATATCTAAACGAATGAGCGGGTAGAAAGCGGTAGGCCGGACTCGGTGTGCATGTCGGATGACTTATTTGTTATATGCCGCTTAGTATCAAACGTATCATCTTACTTTTCGGCGCCACTACATTGGTCGCCGCTCGCTGTATGACGCCGCCTCTCGATCAAATAATGCTTTCTACCTGCTTATTCGTTTAGATATTTTAATAAATAACTCAATAATTATTGCGAATATCGCAAAATGATACAGGACTTTTCTATTCAGTTTAACACGCTCTATCTGCCCATTCGCGGTGGTTCGCGAATTATGGGACACCCTGTATATATAGTCGCTTTTACTTCTAATAATAATAATAAAAAATATTAATATATACATACATATATATATATATATATATATAAAAATTAACACTTTCTAAATTCTTACTATTCTACTAGTACACGAAAAAAATGTTTTAATTATATGTACAATAATATATTTATTCTATTCAAGAAATGATCAAGTGGTTTAATTAATGTATATTGAGAAAGCAGCCCAGAAAAAGTTTTAAGGAAATATTAAGAAAAGTTAAAAATGTTTACAATAGCATATGAAATAGATGTGTTGAGAATAGGATATTTGACTACTTAAATAAATTAAATTAAAAATATATAGTATACATACATTTAGATTTCTATTCGTATTCATAGCTATTACAAAATTCATCTTCAGATGCGTGAGATTCAAGTATTTGTCCAAGTGATATTTCAGTAGGATCAGGTTCTTCTTCATCAAAGTAATCATCATTATCGTAAGCTATAACAGAGAGAAAAATGAAAAAATAATAAAATTTATTAATACCTAAGCAAGATATAGAAAAAAGATTACACAAACCGTTTTCGGACGTGTCTGCTGTAACTTCAACTGAATTAATTTCTTCTTTTTTGAATTCTTCATTTTCTTTCTTTGCTATTTTATATATCTTCTTCGGTTGTTCAGTATTTGGTTTAATAGAGCGATATTTTTTCGATAGCGGAAGCTCCGCAGTTTTCGACGTAGAATTGATTGGTATTCTAAAAATAAAATTATTATATACATTTGTCGATTGATTGAAATTAATTTGTCCAAAAACTGAAAAATAATGTGTACTAACGGCTTGTTAAATGTTGCGTCGTCTAATTCTGACATATTCATTGTAAATAACTCTTGATTGTTTTGTTGCTGATTATTTATACTTTTCAACACTTCATAATTAATCTTGGAGGATATTTTCTTTTCTTGCAGCATTTTCTCAATTGCTTCGCCTAATGAAAAGAAGAAGATTCAAATAAATAATAAATGCGTCAATACATAAAAAAATAAAAAATAAAAATAAATACTTGCCAGCAGAATTTGCAGGCGTTTTGTTCTTTCTGGAAACTGTCTTTCCTTTTTTTTTCAGTTTTACCTTCTTCCTTGTCTTTCAAACGCTTTTCTTCTTTTTCCTTTTGTTGAACAAGATAGTCGGCGTTGACCTTATTCCAGAGAGCAGATTTAGATTGTGATTCTTTTTCCGAGAGAATATAACTGTCTAATTCCTCATCATCGATGTCGTTCGTATAAATTTCCTCGGAAAACTAACAAGAAAGTTTTCTAGTTACTTCAAAATATTCAATATACAGGGATTCATTTTAAAAAAGGGTCATAAGATGGTGTCATTGATTTTATTTGTATAATCATTTGAAGGTCACCTTCAATTTCTTAAATAAAACCTACTATTTTTTATTGCATATTTTTGTAGTTTATTTCGAGAGCTTTTTAAAAGCCTATAATAAAGTATGTCTTAAGTACTTTTTGAGTTATTAAGGTTTGAAGTTAACAACTTTTTGACATAAAATGTAAAAAAACTTTAATAACTCAAGTACTTAAGAGAAAAATATTTAATTATAAAATTTTGGAAAGCTCTCGAAATAAGTTACACAAATATGCAATGAAAAATAGTAGGTTCCATTTAAGAAATTGAAGATGACCTTTATGTGATCTTCAAATGATTATACAAGATCAAATTATAATGACACCATCTTATGTCTCCCTCAAAGTAAAAAAACTTTTGTTTGAAACATTTTTTTATATCTCTCATAGTTTTGAAATATTTGTCTGAGGCGATTAAAATTAATCCTGTATATAGTTTAAATAAAATTGTAATTTGAATTTACAACTTAAGGAAAAAAACACTTACATTTTCCAAGTTATCTTGTTCTTTCGGTTCATTTGGACGATTATTCGGAAATATCATTGATGCTATATTTGGACCTGTATACAATTGATGAAATTATAAAGAGTGACCGCAAAAACCGCCCGTTTCGTGAACATCGAGTTTTGATACGATGTTGGTGGTGATTGTATACCATCAAACATTTATCCTCTAAAAATTTCGAATTGAGACCTTTTATTGCTGAGATATGAAGGGTTGAAGTTGGTATTATTCACGAATGAAGGGTACGCCATTTTTCTCGTTTAACACAAAATACCTCGAGTTTATTCTTATATCAAAAAATATTTCAGATATGATTTGTTTATCTGTTAGAAGACTAATTTATCGTGACCTCAAATTGACGTTTAAGTCAAACTTGTAAAGGTCATTTAGAAGTCAACTTTTTCGATTTTCAGTAAAATGTTTTTTAACTAATGTCGAATACTTATTTCTGCGATCTAATTACTCACGATCTCAAATAGACCTTTAAGGAATAATTTACACGGTCAAATAAACATTTTCAGAAAAATTCAAGATGAGCGTTTTCTCGCCTCTCTGTCTGTTGGCACTCCGACAGACAGAGGCGAGAAAACGCTCATGACTTCAACCCTTCATATCTCAGCAATAAAAGGTATGCTCAATTCGAAATTTTTAGGGGATGAATGTTTGATGGTATACAATTATTTACCATCAACATCGTATCCAAATTCGATGTTCACGAAACAGGCGATTTTAAGCCTGTTTTTGCAGTCACTTTTTGTATTCTCTAATAATATAATATAAAGTACTATAATATAATTTTATATGAATGCTTACTTAATCCTGTAGTAAGTGAGCTATTACTCTCATTTACTATCGTATCTCGAAAGTTTTCATCGGGATCATCAACCTGATTCTCAACATATTGTTGGATTATGTCTATATTACTTTCGTGAATAAATCTATCTGCGTCTTCATTCTCTATAGGATCCTCTGCAGAAGATACTGTAAAAATATTTATTATAGTGTGTTGGTAAACAAACAAGATCAAAACACTAAAGACATAACATTGTGGAAAAAAAGAATATGATCCTAAAACTCAATCATTATTTGAAATCTATTTTGTATCCATTATTGTTGTTATATATATGGGCTATTCCATACCAAATCAACGACTTTTTTCCCCGACCATTTTTAATTTGCTTCATTTTTTTATCTTTTTGTACCTATTGAAAGTAGCTTTCATGAATTTTTTTAGATTTTTATCTTTATTACCTACTTTCCGAGTTATATATTTTTAAAAATATATTAATTTTAAAAAATTGTTTAAATTTCAAATTATAACTAAAAGAAAAATAAATATATGGTTATTAATAAGATGGTCATTTTTATCTTTGAATGTATTTTTCAAACAAAATATTTAAATAATTAAAAAAAGAAAATTTAATAGCGTTTTAGTCAATTTTAATTGAAATTATTTTTTTTCTCAATGAGACCCTTTCGATTTTTTTCATAAAAATATATAACATTTTAGACTTTAAAACAAAATTTTTGAGCTATTAGCGAAAAGGGGATTCCAATATTTTCGATTTTTTAAGGCTACTTTTAAAATTTTTTTTCAAAAATCGAATTTTTTTGATTGTTTACACATTATTCGATTAAAAAAATTAATATTTATAAAATTAATAAGCACTCATTTCGAAAAGTCAGGAAAAATTCCAATATTTGTAATTTTTAAAGATTTTTGCTATTTTTTCGAACATAATGTTTGTCAGTTGTTTAGGCAACTCCAATTAAGAACACTTTTAAAATAAAAGATATTAATACAATCAGACGTATTTTATTAAAAATTAGTACATGAAAACACTTTTTGTTGTTAATTTACATAGTTTAAATAATTAATAAATTTAATTAAAAATGAATTAAATAATTAAATAATTTAATTTATTAATTGTTTAAACTACGTAAATTAACAACAAAAAATGTTTCACGTACTAATATTTAATAATAGTATATTAGCTAACAAGTGCGGGAGATCGTAAATCGGCTACGATATTTTGTGTGACCGGTGCGTGGAAAGGAAGTCCTTTCTAAAATCCCATCATGTGCGTAAAGGGCGACTTTCCGCGCGCCGATTGCACAAAATACGTTTGATTGTATTAATATCTTTTATTTTAAGAGTGTTCTCCTTAATCGGAGTTGCCTAAACAACTGACAAACATTATGTTCGAAAAAATAGCAAAAATCTTTAAAAATTACAAATATTGAAATTTTTTCTGACTTTTCGAAATGAGTGCTTATTAATTTTATAAATATTAATTTTTTTTAATCGAATAATGTGTAAACAATAAAAAAAAATTCGATTTTTGAAAAAAAATTTAAAAAGTGGCCTTAAAAAGTCGAAAATATTGGAATCCCCTTTTCGCTAATAGCTCAAAAATTTTGTTTTAAAGTCTAAAATGTTATATATTTTTACGAAAAAAATCGAAGAGATCTCATTGAGGAAAAAAAAAAATTTCGGTTAAAATTGACTAAAACACTATTAAATTTTCTTTTTTTAATTATTTCAATATTTTGTTTGAAAAATACATTCAAAGACGAAAAAAATGACCATCTTATTAATGACACAATATATTCATTTTTCTTCAAATTATAAATATTTGAAATTTAAAAAAATTTTAATGTTAAATACAAATAAGAAAGACCTCAGAGCCATATGCGGATGTTTCTTGCGTACATCTTCAACAAAAATTAATTTTTCGTTGGAAATAAACGAAAATGTGCACAAATCACATATTATTCTTGGTTTACTAGATTTTAAATATGAAATATCTCATACTTGAGATTTAATTTCATAAACCCCTATTATCCCCTTACAGAAATAAAGAAAGAAACGTGAGAGAAAAATATAGATCCAAAAGTCGCTGAATCGAGAACCGAGACCCTTTCGCTTGCCGGGCGACTGCTCTTTCAGGCAAGCTTTTAAAAATGTTTAAAAGTCAATATTTTTAAAAATATATAACTCGGAAATTAATGAAGATAAAAATCTCAAAAAATTCATAAAAGCTACTTTCAATAGATACAAAAAGATAAAAAAAATAAAGTAAATAAAAAATGATCGAGAAAAAAAGTCGTTGGTTTGATATGGAATGCTCCACATACATCGTAGTTATACATGTAACATTAATGAGAGAGATTGAGTCGACTATTTTCAAAATAAATAATAAAATATATTTAAGTTATAAAATTCGAGATTTGTATTAAATTTCAATTTTTTGTCTAAAATATAAGTGAATAATTTTTATTTCTATCCATTTTTTTCCAGCAATTTGCTTAATATTATTTTGAACTCCTCCTTGGAAAATTTTGCATCATAGTTAATTAATAAAAAAATTATATTTTTTTTAGATATATGAACCACCAGTCGTAGAATAAAATTAAACAATCACACTTCTCTCGACCAATACTGGCATAAGAACTTTATTAGAAATTCTTCACAACGTTTCGACTTTCCATTTAGATCCTTTTCAAGTAATCTGTCACAAAAAGGAAAAATTATTTACACGTAATAATACATAAAGAAAAGAAACAAAAAAATTGTAGGATACTTGCGAGATATAACTAAAACTAAAATTTAATATTTTTGTGTAGTATTTAATAAATGAAATAAGCGAAATGAGAGCGCCTATACAATGTTTATTACTTGTAATATTAAATACTACACAAAAATATTAAATTTTAGTTTTAGTTATATCTCGCAAGTATCCTACAATTTTTGTTTTTTTTAATGTATTATTACGTGTACATAATTTTTCTTTTTTGTGACAGATCACTTGAAAAGGACATAAATAGATAGTCGAAACGTTGTGAAGAGTTTCTAATAAATCGATTTATGCCAGTATTGGTTGAGAGAATTGTGATTGTTAAAAAAAAATTAAGTTACAAATTATATTTTGATGTCTTTGTTAATTGATTAGTCGCCAGTAAGAATTAAATTAAACTTATTAAATTCGTGAAAAAAAACGACCAATACTGGACTACAAAAACTTTTCTTTATTTATTTAATTCATGACGTTGGTCGTTTTTTTCGCGAATTTAATAAGTTTAATTTAAAAATTATATTTTATTAATAACCACACTTTTTATGTTTGATATGTGTTTGTGGTGGTTTAAATATGAAATAGTGTCGCAAGTAAAGAAACACAACAATATATTACAATTATTATTACTCATTATTACCATATATTATATTATTGTAATAAACAGTATTTATTGGGGAGTCATTGCTTATAATTAAAAAATTTTTCAGTTGTTATTTGGCGATATAATTTATCTATTTTTGAAATATTTTATTTATTTTTTATAGCTAAATGCAAAAGAAAATAATATTTTGCAAAAATTTTTCATTTTCACTATCAATCATTCAAAATATTTTTAGCAAATATTCAAAACAATTTCTTTTTAAAAAGAATAAAAAGTGACTCTCTTCTAAAAAAAACTAATTCTATTTAATAAATTAATCTATCGTGCTAAAATAAAATTAAAAAAGCAATTTAAGGTTTTTTCACAATATTGGTAAAAATATTTCTTCGTTTTATTAATATAAAATAAAAAAAATGTCTTTCAATTTAATTTAACAGTGAATTACATTTTTATATGTAAAAATACAATCTTTTTTCTTAATTTTGGAGATTCAATATAATTAATTATCTTCTAATTAAAGTTTCAAGACAGCAAAATATTTCGAAAAATATAAGATTTATAAAAAAAAAAAAATGTTTCACAAAATTTGTAAGGTTTCGAAAGATCTATTTACTTATCAGTTTGACTTTGAATGATGCATTGCCAATATTAGGACTATGTGTCAACAATTATTTCTTTACACCAATTGATTCCTCTTATTATTTTGCGCATAAAAGTATTGAGACAAGATAAAAAATCACTATTTTATAAGATATTTAATAGTTTACATAAGATTATGCAAAATTAAAGTATGAGATATCTCAAATTATTCACTATTTGGCTATTTTATCCTTATAACTTTTTATGTCGAATATTACGAGAAATCGATTATATAAAAAAATAAAATGGTTTTATTTAAAAAAGTCAAGCTGACCTTGGCGGCGCAAGATCAAACTGATAAAGCTAGTATATAGATCTTTTTAAATCCTATAACTTTTGTCTGAAACATTTTTATACATTTTTCGAAATATTTTGTCGGAACTTTTTATATATCCTATCTAATTTTGAAGAAGAGTCAAAAAAGGACCAAAATATTCAATTAATTTTATGAAGAATTTTTAAATGTGTAATATTCGATTTGTACCTCAGTTATCACGCTTTGATTTTGATTTGCCATTTTATTCTTTTTCTTTTAAATATTATCACCTTATATATTTATAATTATTATATACAAATTATATCTCTAAATAAAAAATAAATTTTTCTATTGTATTTATAAAAAATGTGTAAAAATATAATTACCATTCTTCTTGCGTTTCTTTGTTTTCCCTGCTCTATAATCTTCCAATTGTCTATCAATTTCTGCTTGCAAGTCGCTTATTTCTTCGTCTATGTTTTGTAACTAAAAAGACACACATTTTTATAGAGAAAAATATTTTATATAAGATTTTCTTGCGGACATTAAATAAATTATTTCATATTTTGCTGACTTTCGTATTTAATATTTTTTTCAGTCTTTTTTGCAGAATATTTTGCCATCTTGAGTTTTTTTACTTCACCGCATATTAAAAACATTGTCGATATAGTAGATTTAAAATTCTCTCTTGCGGATTTCTAAGTAAGAAAGTAAAGAAATATAATTAAAAAAGGCAATATACCCCTTGTAAACGTTCTCTATCCTTTTTACGTGCTGCTTTAAATGCTGGAGGATCTTCCTCTTCTAAGTCTACCGTCTCAAATTCATCCAAAGTCAAAGCACTGGATGGTGTATCGCCAAATTCCATTAATCTTGTAAGAGAAAAATTTATTGTGTGTGCTACTATACAGACATGACAAATAAATATATTTATATAAAATATATTTTACCTTTTACGCAAAGTAGATTCATGTACCTTGACAATTTTTATAATGTCAGTAGGTGATCTGTTAAATTCGTGCAATCGCGCAGCAATCAGTAAAGCTGTAATGGAATAAAAAATATATATATGTATATATTTGAAAATTAATTCGGGGTTAAATTGATATCATTAAATAAATTATTTCATATTTTGCTGACTTTCGTATTAGTATTTTTTTCAAAGTCTTTTGTTGCAGAATATTTTGCCATCTTGAGTTTTTTTACTTCACCGCATATTAAAAACATTGTCGATATAATAGATTTAAAAAAAAATTTTTCTACCTGCACCACATAGACCTGATGGTCTACGACCAATATGAATACTGTCCTTGTTCATTCTTTGAAGTATTCTGGTGGCTGTCCTACCTACGGCATCAGTTTTATCGCCAAATTCAAGTTTTTGTGCAAACTTCTCGATGTATAAACAAGGATCTGCACAGGAAGAAACAAAAATACATTTTGCATATATTTGTATTCTTTTCTTTATTTTAGATCACGAAGTGAATAATTTTAAATTTATATTTAGGTAAATAATACACATTAGAGGACTCCAATTTCCAATGACCTTAACAATACATGTCAAGGTCATGAGCCTGAGTAACCTAAAAGATTTTAGCCCTCGATTATTTAATAAGTTATTAATAATCCTCCTCGATTATTTAAAAAATTTTATTAATAATTAAATTGTACGATAAGAACAAGTATTAAATACAATATTCTGAACTTGTCTGAGTATGAATTTTATTTTATTTGCATATTTAAGTATTTAAAGCTCTTTGGTCCTCACTGCGGCCATGTTAAATTATGATGCCAGAGGCGAGAAAATACCCGTTGAAAATTTTTGCGTATCCTTTTTAAATAAAGATATTTTGATGAAGCATAACTTTAGATGACTTTAGTACATTTTAAAAATATTTTTAAAATATTCCGAAAATTAACCATTTCCCTTTAATAAATCAACAGCTGTAAAAATGACTGTGATATGAGGTCTGATCCGTATATATTCTTACACATGTCATTCCGCATGACAAAGTCTGATGTTTCAATTATTTATTAGGTTGTTGCTTGACTGTCAAGGAAGTTTTAAGTAAATGTGTAAGCAGGGAAGGAGTTCCACCTTTGTACTTTCTCAGAGAAAGTAATCCAAATTTAATTTTTATTCAAAAAATAAAAATTGATCAGACTAGATGTAATAGCAATTTTTCAGGGTAGAAAACCATGCAAAAACCTCATGCATCTATACGGATAGAACAGTTGAGAGTGTGATAGATTTCGGATACGCAATAACAGTTGAAATGATCGAGTTCTTATTACGCTCAATCAATAGATCGAGTTGAATTATATAAGAAAAGTAGCTTCATTTTTGTTCTATGTGCTTTTAAACATACTAGATAACACAAGCGCGCGCTTCGCGCGCGCCGAACAAATTTTTACTCCGCGAATGTACATAATTTTAATTTGCCGAATTTCAATTATATACATAACTCTAATTTCCGAATTTCTATTATACATATACATAATTTTAATTTGCTGAATTTTTATTATGAACATAATTTTATTTCGCCGTATTTCTTTTATATAAATAATTTTAATTTTTGATTTTCAATTATGTTCATAATTTTAATTCTTGAATTTCTATTATGCACATACTTTTATTTGGCCGCATTTCTATTATGTAAATAACTGAAATTGTATCTAATAGAAATTCGGCCAGTTGAATTTATGTACACAATAAAAATTTGACGAATTGAAATTATAACGCATAATAGAAATTCAAGAATACTTATGTATATTTGTACATAGTAGAAATTCGACGAATCAAAATTTATAACATAATAGAAACTCAAGAATTAAAATTAGGTACACAATGAAAATTCAAGAATAAAATTATGTACATATAGAAAAAAATTCAGCGAATTAAAATTATTTACATAAAAGAAATACGACAAATTAAAATTATACACATAATAGAAAAAAATTGGGCAAATTAAAATTATTTAGATAAAAGAAATACGATGAATCAAAATTAAGTACTTAATAGAAATTAAAAATTCAATAAATTAAAATAATGTACATAATAGAAATTTGGGAATTTAAATTATGTAATAAAAATTCGGAAATTAAAATTATGTACATAATAGAAATTCGACAAATTAAAATTATGAACATAATAGAAATTCATTAATAAAAATTGTGTACATAATAAGAAATAAGAGAATTAAAATTATGTACGTAATAGAAATTCGGTGAATTAAAATTATGTACATTACGGAAATTCAGCGAATTAAAATTATGTACATAGTGAAAATATAGAATTAAAATTATGTACATAATAAAATTTCGGCGAATTAAAATAAAAATAACGCTTTCCTGTCGCGATAACCCACAACGGTGCAAAAAAATAATTATTATATATATTATTTATTGTCTTTACATGAGTAAAACATTTGATCTTTGTAATTCATTATTAGGCATATTAAGCCTTATATTTTAATCATTATCGATTTTTTTATTTTATAAAATTCCTTTATTCCAAATTACTTTTTTTTCATTTACAGTTAGAATTCTCCTTTACACAGCTTTATAAACAAAAGATAAACAAAAAAAAACAGAATAACATTTTCAGTCTGCACATTTATGCTATTAATATAAAAATATTAGTCAAGGAAAATATTTAGTCTTTAAAAATAATCCTAAAATAAAGCAATCAACTGATATAATACATAAAATTGGGTATCTAATCATCATATAAATTATGAAGTTCTGCAAGTATTTTACCTGACAAGCAAGCTTTTGTATCGTCAAATTCAGAATGCAAACTATCGTTATTTGATTGTAACAACTAAAACGTTTAATATTAGATGTTAGCAAACAGCTCATACGTGATTTTAAAGCCAGGTATTCCCTCAAAGGTCTCTCTACTTTCTTGTCAGTGCATTTATTCAACACAGGAGTATATTTTTTAACTGATATAATTTTTGTGCTAGACTTTATATTAGTGATATCCAACTTATTTTCTAAATGCACGAAACTATCATTTTCCTTATTACACTTGAAAGAAAGATCGATTTGACATGGTGACTGAATTCCAGAATTATACTTTCCATCTCTTTCTACAAGTTTCGTTAAATTAGTATCAAGCGTTTTATAAACTTCTTTCGGAATATAACTGTCTTCAGTATTAATATTATTGTTAATCGTACATAGCGATTTTGTGTTTGTATCATTCATTTTATTTCTATATTATTATTTAAATTTTCAATCATTACTCCTTCAAAATATTGTTATCAGTATTACTGTTATCAATTTCCTTTGTTGTTATATTTAACATATATAATATGTCTGTAATACTAATAAATATTGATTTCAAATTCGGTATTACAATATATTTTACAATAGAAATATGTACATAATCTAAATTAACTGAATTTCTATATATGTATACATAATTTTAATTCACCGAATTTTTACTTCCCTTTCTAATTGAGAAACTAATCCAAACCACTCAATCACAAAATTAATAAACACTTATTTATCAGATTTTAACTATTATATACCAAATCTTTTAATATACATTACTACACTAACCCCTCGATACATACAACTGTCAAAATATGCAATGACAGCGGCTCACGAAGTAAACGCAACGATAAAACCAATCGGCATCGCGGATTAAAGACAACAATACACTTCGAGACTTTCGAGACTTCAATAAATAAATAACATGCTTTTTTTAGAAATGGAAACAGAAATATAATGATGCAAAAGTCTCAATATAAAAAATTTCTTTTAAGGAGGTTTTACCGTCACTTTCTGAGGGAAGTGGTGCAAGAAAAATATTTATGCTGATTGGCTTATACACATAAATTTTGTAATGCAAACTCGCATAAAATTTTAATTTAAATAAATTCAAATTATTTGTATATTATTTAGTTTTGATATGTATAAGTATATAAAACATTTATTTAACAAAATATAGTGATTTGATAAAAGATAAACATTTATAAATAATTTTAATTACTAAAAGAAGTAAATAAAAAACGTAGCAATAGCGCGTCAATATTTTAAGTTGTTACGACTGCTCGTGTCTTGTCAAATGTTAATTTCAAACATAAGATATAAATCCGTTCAGATTTAAAAGACGATTTATTAATAAGAAGCAACATAATAAACGTCTAAAAGCCATTGAACATGAAAAATGTTTGAAATTAAAAAAAAAGTGCAAAAATGTCAACATTTTTAAGATTGTATGCCAAAAATCGATATTTTGTAATAAATTACATAATAATAATTTTAAACAATGTTTAGGCCTGTTGGAGAGGTTTAATATAATTTTAATTAATTAATATGATTAGCAAAAACATTTCGTTTGCACACAGTACGTTTGTGGACAGTTCTTTTGCGCATAGTTCTTTTGCTTACGGTTCTTTTGCGCATAGAGGATCGATTATGTATTTTTTAAAAGAGTGAAAAGTAAACAAAGAACAATGTCAAAAAACCCCGATTTTTTGCCCCTCGGGGAAATGGATAAAACCTATTCCATACATTTTCCACACATAAATATAAACCAAAAATGTACCTAAGACCGCGAAGAATTCTGGGGAAAATTTTTGGCAAGCTGTTTGACTTGTTAATAAGATGTTAAAACGAGATCATTTTTCAATTTTTGACCTTGATCGAACGATGGAAGTTAATTATCTTCCCGAATTCTCACAGCTTAAAAGTCTAAAATAATCTGTAATGATGAATGGAAAGTATTTGAAGGTGTGTGCGTGCGTGCGTGCCTCCTACATACTTTTTCTGCAAGTGAGATATTCAAAAGTATAGGTAATATCATTATATTACTATGTTATCAATAGTGTCGAAAGATCACGTCAAAGATCGTCGCTTAATCGTTAATGTCGCTAAGATCTCGTTAATGTCGCTTCAGGATTCCTTCAGTTTTTGACCATTTTATCCTAATCGCACTATCTATATGGGGAATATGATAAACCTTTAAAGCTAAAAACTGAACCTTCAAACATCTTCTATTCATCATAAGATTATTTTAGGCTTTTAAACTGCAAGAATCTCAATTCAGTGCGTTTTGATCAATGTTAAAAACTGAAAAGTGGTCCCGTTTTAACACCTTATTTAGCAAGTCAAACAGCTTGCCAAAAGTTTTTCCCAGAGTTCTCCACGGCCTTAGGTGCATTTTTGGTTTGTATTTATGTGTAAAAAACATATGGAATAAGTTTTATCCATTTCCCCGAGAGGCAAAAAATCGGGGTTTTTTAACATTGTCCTTTGTTTACTTTTCGTATTTTTACTTTTTTAAATATACACAATCGACTGCCAGTTCTTTTGCTCACGGTTCTTTCGCGCATAATTCTTTTGCCCACGGTTCTTTTGCGCACAGTTCTTTTGCCCACATTTCTTTTGCGCACAGTTCTTGGATAAACTTCCGAAACTCGTCTTTGGCTCGTGCGCTTACCCGCACTCGTGACCAATAGCCAACTTTCCGTACTTGTAACACAAATAACTATTAATGTGTATCCAAATAAGTTTAAAGAATGATGGCAAAAAAAAACCTGTATTTTCGCCCATTTTATAGGGTTGAAGAATTTTGGGATCTCAAATTTCAAACTTTTTTAATGCTAAATACTATTATATAATGAGGTGGAGACGATGGGAGACATTAATCCCAGAGAAATTTCAAGATGAGCATAGGCACGGTTCCTTAGATATGAAGAAGTGAAAGTGATAATTTCTTATATAACCGACTAAAAATCATCACTTTCCCCCTTGTATCTTCGGAACTGTGCTCATCTTGTAATTTTACTGGGATTAAGGTTTCATCTAATACTATTTGCCATAAAAAGTTTGAAATTCGAGGTTTCAAAAATGGGCAAAGTTTACTATCACTCTTTACTAAATTTATATGTTCTACAATAAATAGTTTTAGAAATATCAATTTTTAAAAATTGTAGTTAAAGTTGCAAACCTATGTGAAACCTCGCTTCGCGTGGAAAAACATATGCGTGGAAACAGTGGATTCTGCCCCTCTGCGGAGGCCTCCACTACCAAAAAACTAGACAAATAGGTTTGCGTGAAACCTCGCTTCGCGTGGAAAGTTGCAAACCAATGTGGAACCTCGCATTGCATGGAAGTGTATGTGTGGAAACCCCTGCGAGGGGCTCCACTACCAAAATATTCTACTAGAAAATAGAAAAAGTCTTTCTATTAGAAAATTTATTCTACTAGAAAATAGAAAAAAGATAAATAGGAAAGTCGCTTGAAAGCATTGAAGTTCCAATTAAAAGAACTGTTTCATAAATACTGTTGTCTTTGTTCTGCCATAACGAATCTCACAGTTATTCCAGAAGAAGCTTGTTTTCACAGGATTAACTTCAATTCTCTAAATATTTGATTCTTCCACTTTAGATTCGAGTCAAATAATGATTGTTAGATCATCAGTTGATTGTGATTCATCAATCTCCTTTTGAGAAATCGAGCAATCAACATCAAGTTTCTTTTTATATTGAAAAACTCGACATTTTGAACACAAGATATCATTAACAATAATTGTTCGTTGAAGTTTGTTGGAAAAATTCATTGCTTCATCTTCAGTTTTAATTGTTTTCTTCTGGCCACGTACCTTAAATAAAAACTTATCACCTAACATCCAACACATTTAGGATTGTTATTTGTCACAGACATTTCTTGCTATGACAAGTCAAATCAAATATGGCAAAAGTGCAAAGCAAGTATTTTTAGCTGGAAAAATGCACATGAGGAAAAACACAAGGTACAACAAGAAGAACTCAAAAGAACTTAACATGCCAACAATGGAAACACTTATTGAACAGCGAAAGAAACAAGTGAAGATTGTAGGAATAATTGACGTAAAAAAAATGAATGCTACAGTGCTGCATATATTTGTTATACACTAAGCGTCATGAATGCCTTCTCACTTGAATTTATCTGAATTTGCATGCGTATATATGTTGCAAATTCAGGTGGAAAGGCATTCATGACGCTTAGTGTATAGCGCGCCATATGCCGCACGCGACGCACTCAAGAACTTCATTTTTTAAAACTATGTACTACTCTTCCGATCGTTATGAAACTCGAACACGTTATTCTAGAGTATTTAAAGATTTTTCAGCAAAAAAATGGTGATAGTGTCTCAAGTGCATCCCATAAAAAAAATTCAAAAATATTTCGAAAATTTTTTACCCGTATTTTGTGAAAAAAAAATTCCGTAATTTTTTAATAACATTATAGCATTGAAACCCATAACATATATTTTTTTCATAAAAATTGGTTCAGCCGTTTTCGAGAAAAAATTTTTTTTCCATTTTTCTTCTAACCCGCATAACTCCCATAAAAAATTTTTTTCAGATCTAATCGTTTGGGAAAATTAATCTCACATCAATGTCAACTTATTATAAAAATTTCAACCAGATCCTAGCGAGGGCAGCACATGCTTATCATATTATCATGCTATGCCCTTTGGTCCCATTAGATGTTTTTATGTTTTTTAAACTCTATTAGTCATTTATAAAAAGTTAAAAATTTGTAAAAAATGTTTATAAGTAATTTATTAGACATTTATTTTAAAATAGAATATAAAATTATAATATATACTCAATATATTGGGTCGTTCACAAAGTTCTGCGGTCTTTTTACTTTAAATTGAAACACAAATTTATTGTACTAAAACATTTATTTAATGTAAAAGGTATTGTCCATCTTAATCTACCACCTTCTTCCAACATTCTGGAAGAGATATAATTCATAATTCATAATTCGTAATTTGATCGTCATCAGTGATGGATGGACGACCGGAACGAGAAGCATTTTCGAGGTTCATATTTCTAGAACGGAAGCGCGCAAACCAACGCTGGTGTCTGTCGCTTTTACTCCTTTCTGATAAAAAAAATAGCAAAATGTGTCGAAAATGCATCTTTTGATCCTCCATTTTTACTAAATAGTACGTGTACAAAACATGTCAATTACAACAAAGTTTTTGGCGAAATGTAAAGCGTGATCTAAGCTTTCAGATGGTATAAAATAAGCCGTGGTTCAAGCAGCGCATGTTATCTTTTTCAGCCGATCAATGCCATTTACTGAAAAAACCGCAGAATTTAGTGAACAATCAGAGTAGTTTAACAAATAAATTTACATACACATCGATATATACGTAAATTTATTTGTTAAAAGACATTCTGTTGCAGAATGCAGCTCAAAAATAGAAATCATTTTATGACATTTTTAATTTTATTAATTTCCGTTTTTGCCAGCCTTATATAATTCTCACGACGAAAATCAAATACGAGAAAGATACGTCACATAGCGGTAAATAAAAGAACAATTTAGTTAAAAAATATTTACTATAAATATTTATTTATACATACCATAAATATTATATGAAATATTTAATCTGTTTTAATAATATGTTAAATAAAGGTTTTTATAAAACATTTTCAAAATATTTATATAATATTTGAAAAAAATATATATTCATTAATATTTATAACTCTTCATCATAAATATTGTGTGCTGTCTGGGTCGTGCTGTGAAGGTATAATTTAAACGTGAAAAAAACGTTTTTTAAATTATAGTTTTAAAAAGATTTTTATGGAGTCGTTTTTTTATTGATGTTTAAACGGTTAATAATCTTTAGATACGTTAAGGAAATATATTTTTATACCAATTTAATATTTTTATACCAATTTAATATTTTTATTTTAAATTTAATATCTATTTTAAATAATGCACACCTGCTAAAATGACACTCAAACAGTTGTCCGTCCTCTCTTTTACCCCTCTTTCTCTCTCTTCGTCGTTCTCGATAACTATCGACCGACGCGACAGCGCCTCTCTAACTGCGCGTATGTCCAGGAAATGGCGGCTGTATAGCCGACAACAGACAGTACTCTCGGATTCGTTCTCTTGTGCTTCGGGGAGGACGAATTACGACGCGACGTAAGGTCAACACCAGGCGAGCCTGACGACGATGGCAATGTCGAATCTCTACTCCAAGATCTCCACCAAGCCGATGAAGCGTTTTCAGGACAACGTCGCGGTCAAACAGACTAATGCCTGGATGAACGGTGAGAGAGTGAGAGAGGAGGAACAGAGCGAAAGAGAAAAACTGCTTCGTATGTCGTTTGTTTCGTATGTCGCGCGAATAAGCGAGTTTGCTATTTATACGTCACGCCTGATTTCGCGAGTGAAGAATCCTAGGGTTTTGATCATGTCAGAAATTCGTATTTGGATATGTGTGAAGATCACAGCAATTAATATTCTATATATTGCTATATATACATATATACACATACACGCATATATATATATATATATATGTATGTATATTTGTTACGCTAAAAACTCAAGTTCGAATTTTATCTGACATTATTAATAAATAATTAATGGTAACAATATTTTTTTATTCTCAAAATTTTCAGTTGAGTAAAAGTTATGAGTTTTATTTCAATTATTTCAATTAATTGATTCTATTTACGAAACATCGGTACTTGATAAAATATAATTTAAATATCATTCAATAACATACATATATGTATGTATATATATATATATATATATATATATATATATATATATATATATATATATATATAGGTATACATACATATATGTATGTTATTGAATGATATTTAAATTATATTTTATCAAGTATCGAAACTCATAACTTTTACTCAACCGAAAATTTCGAGAATAAAAAATAATGTACGCCATTAATTATTTATTATTTAATAATATCAGTGTCAATAAATTTATATATATATATATATATATATATATTTCAAATTTATTGGCACTGATATTATTAAATAATAAATAATTAATGGCGCACATTATTTTTTATTCTCGAAATTTTCGGTTGAGTAAAAGTTATGAGTTTTATATAAATTTAATAATTGAATAAAAATCTTTTAAGTGATTAAATATATAATTGTGTAGAAAGTTTTTGTTAATTATCAAAATGAAATAAATCAGGTCGTCACAGCTCATAACTTTCGCTCGAACTAAAATTTTGAAAGTAAAAAATACTTTGCAATAATCGATTAATTGATTAGATTTTCGAAACATCGATACTTGGTGCAATATAATTTAAATATCATTCAATAATAGAATAATATATAATATACATATATTATGAATTTATCGGCACCGATATTATTATATTAAATAATAAATAATTAATAACGCGAAATATTTTTTTACTCTCGAAATTTTTAACTCGAGCAAAAGTTATGAGTTTTATTTTAATTCTTTTAATCAAATCGTAAAGATTGGGGCATATGCATATTTTTATGAGTGTTAATTATTGAATATTTATATATAAAATATAAATCTAGAATATAAGAAACATTAAAAAAAATGATTGAATATAGACTGAATGAGATTACATTAATCCATCATGAAAATGTTTGAGGTATCAATAAATTTCAAGTTATAAATTATTAAAAAAGAAGACTTTCTTGGAAACTAAACTGTGTAAAGTTAAAATATTAACAAAAACTACATTCTTCAGTTAATTCCAAGTAGAATTTACTTTAATAGAATTTTAATTATTGTTACATACAAAGATACATTATGAGCAAAATTGAGAATATGCAAAAAATGATCTCCCTCAACATTTTCGCAAAGGAAAAATCGTCTTTAAATTGTTCAGAGAATTTGATAGCTCCATAAATGTTTTTTTCAATTACACCATGTTAAACATATACATATACAACATATTAGATATACTTATAAGTAATATTTATGTAAAGATTTGTTGAAATCGGATAAAACTAAATTAGATAATTTTAAAATCTATAGCAAATGACGCTTTTTTTCAAGAAAATAATCTCTGTTTAATATCTTCAACATATGTAATTCTAAACATTTAAATGTTTTTTACAAAATAATATCAAATATCATTCTAAAAAGAAAGCTATTCAATATATAATATATTGAATATAGATTGGATAGTAACGAGTTGAATAGAAACGAGAAATAAAAATATAATGTTTGAAAAGGTTTCTTTAACCCTTAGTCTCGACTCATGGATCGTTTGCGTCCGCGGTGAGATTGTTGTACTCGCTGTGACGACCTGATTTCTTAATAACAAACTATATAAAAAAATAATTTTTATCGAAATATTATGATTGGGACTTCAAGTTGAAAGTTGCAAGAAGCTTCATGAATTTCTTCAGATTTTTTTAAAGCGTTTTTACTGATCCAAATAACGCAAAGACGCAAACGAACCATGAGTCGGGATTAAAGGTGCCGAAAAGAACCGTCGGGATTAAGGGTTAAATTCCATAATAATATATTACTTAATTTCAGTTACTATATTTAGCATATTTAGCATATTTAGCATATTACATACACGCGCACACAAGTGCATGCATGCATATACTTCATATCTAAAAATGTGATTTTAATGTCCCACCCTAAATATATTTTTCCTACATCTTTTACAGAAAAAAAGTTTTGCACAAAAGTTGTTTAACTTTAAGGGGATTCCGGAGGTATGTTTTACTGATCGAATGCGAATATTAAGTTATTTTTAAATATCTTTTATTGATTATACTGATCAATAAATCCTTTTCCACGATTAAAGTACTTATATAAAAACGGACCGTGCTAGCTATAATTCCATATATACATAAATCATATAAAGAAAAAATTACAATTTTGTTATCGGCTTTTTTTGTGTCAGTTCGTAACAATACTTATTTAATAAAAATTTCTGCAATTTGCCTGTGCATGAGATATAGCTCACGCAATCGGGATAACATGAAAGAATATTAGTGAACAATTAGAAGCGAGATTACAAATGTAACAATAATAAAAAAGTTAAATATTAATAAATTTTTACGTGTGGTGCTAACCTATCGGAGTTCGGCCGTCAGTCCGGTATCCCCTTAAGAAAGACACAAGATAGCGACATAAAATTTACAGATGTCGCCACTTTCGAGAAATTCATTAATAATCACTTCTTTTAAATCGATTTTGTTTTTAAATAAAAGTTGTAGATCTCGTTAAAAACAAATCGAATTATATGTATTAATTAAGGGTTTTCTTAATTTTTTCATGAGTCACAATTTTTTAATATTAAGGATTAATGTTCTGCAAACACGCTGACATTAAAATGACCCACCTTATATATTTAAAACAAAAAAATATTTTTTTTTATTTTAGCGGAATCTCCAAGCAATACATCAGATTCACCACCCTCGGTTAGTCCACTTTCTTCATCCATCGTATTACAACGCGAAGGAAGCAATGCAATAAATCAACCATTGAGTGCTCCCGCATCGCCTTTGTCTTCTTTATCGTCACCTATAACGCAATTAAATTTGCCATCACCTGGGGACTGCACTCAAGATCCTAATTGGCAAGCAACAAAACCTACAGTCCGGGAACGGAATGCGGCCATGTTTAATAATCATCTCATGGCCGATATCATATTTATTGTTGGCAGTCCAGGTACTTATCTATCTTTTCTTCCCTACTAATCACCATCATGGAGAAAATGTATCATAATATCATAACATCAATAATATCACAGGCCACACACAAACTATACCAGCACATAAATATGTTCTTGCTACTGGTAGTTCTGTATTTTATGCCATGTTCTATGGAGGGTTGCCAGAAAACAAAAGAGATATTGAAGTTCCTGATGTTGAACCAGCTGCCTTTCTCGCGCTATTAAGGTAAGTTCAGATTAACTTGGAGAAAGCACCAAGGAAAAATTTATGAGAAATTATGAATTTAATAAATATAAAATATAAATAAAATAATATAAAAACAGTTTATTAGATTTTTAAAATTTTAGAAAGAACTCTGCACTAAAATTCTATATGGAATTGGGTTCTGACAAAATCAGCTGGTTTCCTCATAAGTTGTAGCTTATATAAACCTGCTGAACAAAAGATGTAATAAACTCAAAGCTAAATAATGGATAATTATTAAGCCAGTTAAATAATACAGAGCCCGAGTTTGTCGTGTTTGATAGAGATCCAATTCTATATAGGATTGTATATAGTGCAGAGTTCTTTCATTCTTGATTTTCTCTGATTTCACGCCATTTAAAAGAACCAAAGTAAAGAAAAAAGTATGTAGCTCTGATTAGGAGAAAAGGAGATATACAGGGTGTTCCTAAATTAGACCGATAAACTTAAAGTGGTTATGAAGGGCGTAAAAACAAAGCAATTTTCTCGATAAACCCATTTCTAGTGCTAAAACTCATTTGTGGACATTTTTGCCTAAAATAACCATTTGCCTACGACGTATGCATATGTCCGTATTATTATATTATACTTTTTTTTAAGGTACATGTACTGCGACGAAGTGCAATTGGAAGCGGATACGGTTCTGGCCACATTGTACGTAGCGAAAAAATATATAGTTCCGCACTTAGCACGAGCGTGCGTGAATTATTTGGAAACGAGTCTGACGGCGAAGAACGCGTGTTTACTTTTGAGCCAGTCTCGCCTGTTCGAAGAACCTAATCTTATGCAACGTTGTTGGGAGGTGATCGACGCACAAGTAAGTCAAACCCAAAGGTCGCTAAAAGCCATTGCTTTGAATGATGAGAATTTGGACGGGACACGACTCGAAAACGACTCGAGCGACTCCTCGAGTGACTCAATCAATCGCGCCTCCTCGAGTTTACATTCTTACGTTTACGACGGTAAATTTGACGATGATTTTCTATGTCAGAACTCGTACTCGGGCAATGGCGGACTCGGCGGTAACGCGTGCGATTGCCTCAAGGGCAGATTATCGATAGTGCCGCATTGCTTGAGTCTCTCGGAAAATGACTGTTGTACGAACGTCCTCGCGGACGAGCATTTGTCATTCTCGCTTTTTCGTACTCGAAGCGAGCCTTACTTTCCCGATAACAAATTGGATCACGTTGAGGTCACGCAGAACATCACATATCAGGATAATTTGATAGACGAGTATGAAAATTGCGGTAAAATTAATCGTAACGATGTTCTTAGGGTAGCAACGAATACTAATCAAATAATTAGCTAAGTGAGAAAAAACTAGGATAAAAATCAACAGATTTTTTAAATATATATATAAAATTGTATCGAATTACTTTCAAGTATACGATCGGAGACTGTTTATAAATAGAACTATGGAAAGGGAAATAATGTTAAAGTTCCTTTTTACAAGGATTAGCATTGCAAAGCGATATTATTTTTAAAAAATGTAAAGGCTCTCAGAAATATAATCGCAAAATAAATTAAAATAACAAATAAGAACCGGCACAGTGAATGGAGCGTATATTTTAAATCAAAAGCTGTTCAAATTTATATGTATAATATTACATACTTATATTTATTATACTTATGAATTTGAACCTTTTGATTCAAAATAAACTTTATTTATTATGTCGACTATTATTTACCATTTTTATTAATTTTATTTTTATGATTATTTAGACAAAATTGTATTAATTATTTGCAAGACATTTTTGTCTACTTATGCTACATACATATATGTATATGCATGCTCATATATACATATGTGAATACGTGCATATATAAGATTTTGCAGAAAAATAGTCTTCATATAATAATGATATTTATTTTCACAGTTTTTTTTCACTTGCTGTATTTGAGTTCAATCAGACAATTGAGAGAAAAAGCACTTTATAGAACATCTTTGTATATACTTTAAGCCCCTTTCAATAAATATTTTTAGGAATATAATATTTATATAGATATACATATACACAAAACTTAAGGATCATTATCACAATATTATTCAAGTAATTGTGTTAATATATATAATTATCATTAAATACGACTCGCATATGTTTGGATAAATTTTATTTACTCGTGATGTTTTAGATTTGATATCATGAATTTACATACTAATATAATTATATAAAAAATTGTATATATATACAAATTATACATATATCAATTAATGATCATTCTTTTGAAAAGACTGCAAATGTTTTGATACATACTTATTAATATTTTTATTCAGCAGATTTTTCATATAAAATATTACTTTGAGTGTAATAATTAAATAAGACGAGATAATTTCAATAAAATGATTTTTTCGATAACTAATTGAAATGTTATATTTTATGTACAATTATAATAAACCAATTTTGTAGCAACATATGAGATCCTTTAATACATAAATATAAAATTGTACAACTAATGTATATTTTGTTAAATTTTTCATTTTTATGCATCAAACTTTTAATTATTATACAATTATTGTTTTACAAAATAAATTTTATTATTATTTCTATAAAAAGATTTCATATATATTATATATATATATATATATATATATTTCAATACTCATTCGTAATGCATATTGATACAATTTATATATTGTTATAATCAATATTATTGTAAGGATAACAAATTTAATACCGAATCAAAAATGTTATATATAAGTATATTTTAATCGTTAATTAAATCAGTTCTAATAATACAAAACTAAAAATATGATTTAATATTATTCATAAAGATTTTAGCCATTAAATTAAATCAATTCTAATGCATTGCAAGAATATGGCAATTAAATTCAACAAATTGATGCATATTTGTAATATTGATGAAAGATATAATTGCATACATAGTTGTAAAATTTTATTTAAAACGCGTAAAAAACAATTTTACAAAAACAATTACATAAGTATTATTTTAAAAATTCATATTTTTGAAGATAAATTATAAAAGTGCAAAAGAAAAAGAAATAATCGCAAAAATAAAAATTAATAAGAGCAATATTATAAAATAGAGCCTAAACATTAAGTAAAAACTGTTGTATGACAGGCAGAAATGGCATTAAGATCTGACGGTTTTGTGGACATTGACATTCATACACTCGAATCTGTCTTATCTCGAGAGACGCTAAACTGCAAAGAAATCCATATATGGAATGCTGCTTTACGATGGGCTTCCGCGGAATGTATACGGCAAGATCTCGAGCCTACACCAGTCAATCAAAGGCAACTATTAGGTAAGAGCAGAGAGATGTGCTTATACACATATGCACGTGTATATGTGTGCATGTGTCCGCATCCGTTATTTATAATATACAAATTGAAGATATGTTAGCTGAAGATATGTATATTTATACATTATATACACATATCTTCAGTTTATGTGTATCTTCTAAACATATTATATATCTTCAACGACATATATCTTCATTATATTATATATCTTCAGCAACTTATATCTTCATTTTGTGTGTGCGCGTACACATAATGAAGATATACATCGCTGAAGATACATATGGAAACTGAAGATATATGTTGTTGAAGATATAAACAAAAACTGACATATACAATGAAGATACGTGCTGCTGAAGATATGTATGTTTATATATCTTCAGCAACTTATATCTTCATTTTGCGCGTGCATACACACAATGAAGATATATGTTGCTGTAGAGATGTATATTTATATATTATATATATATATGTATGTGTATTATATCTTCAGTTTGTGTATTTTCAGTAACATTCTTCATTTTACGCGTGCGTATGTACAATGAAGATATAGTTGCGGAAGATACATATAGAAACCAAAGATATATGTTGTTGAAGATACAAACTGAAGACATAATATATATGTTCCTGAAATCATTTTAAATAAAAAATGTCGTAAAAACACAAATTCAATTCATGATTAGATAAATATCCAAGTATAAGCGTTCAAACTTTATGTAGATAAATGCAATTTTGTGTGTGTAACTTTTTATTAATATAAAGCATAAAAATCAAATTATAAACGTTAAAAAATAAAATATAAAAGACAAATTGTTAAAAATAACATCGACGGTAATATAGATAATAATACAGAGTAATACCTTAGTTATCTAGGTTATTATTTCAGAAACATTTATCTTCAATACGCGCATATAAAATCTCCATTTTTAATTATATATATATATATATATATAAAATTTATTTATTTTTGAAAAAATAATTTGTAAATAAAAGTTGTAAAAAAACATGGCCAACATAGTTTTAATTTAATTAATAGAAATGTTTTCGAAATTCGAAGATTATTTCTGTTTTATAAACAAAAGTATATAAAAAAATAGAAATAATCTTTAAATTTTTTCCAAAACAATTAATAATTATAAATAAATAATTTCAGGTATATTAGACATATAATTGTGCAATTTAAAATAGGATCTCTAACGTGTGCGTATATTTTTATGTACATGTATATTATATTTTTTAGGGTCTGCTTTGTATTTAATTAGACTTCCTGCTATGAATCTGGAGGAGTTTGCAAACAATGCCGCACAGATAGGAATTCTAACGCATCAAGAGACAATTGATTTATTTTTGCACTTTACGGCCAGTAACAAGCCACAACTTTGTTTCCCTATTAAAGCTCGTCAAGGACTAAAAACTCAAGTAAGTAAAGTCTATATATTACAGATGGCAAAAGTAGCCATTTTAACAAATTATATCAAAATTATATCAAAATTGCTACTTTTGTTACCTAGAATAGAAAATTTCAAATAATTAAACTTTGAAAAATAACGAATATATAATAATACCACATTATTATATATATATATATATATATATATATATATATATATATATATATATATATTTTTTGTAGCCACAATTTTGGATAAATAAAAAGTATCTATTGTTCGCAGGTTTGCCATCGATTTCAATCTTGCGCTTACAGATCGAATCAATGGCGATACAGAGGGCGCTGCGATTCGATTCAATTTAGCGTCGATAAGAGAATATTTGTGGTAGGTTTCGGTTTATATGGGAGCTCCTCCGGCGCCGCGGATTACAACGTCAAGATAGAGCTGAAGAGGCTCGGGAACGTCTTGGCAGAGAACAACACCAAGTTCTTCTCAGACGGTTCGAGCAATACGTTTCACGTGTACTTTGAAAATCCGATACAAATAGAACCGGAATGCTCGTACACGGCGAGTGCAATATTGGATGGTGGAGAATTGAGCTTCTTCGGCCAAGAGGGTATGTCGGAAGCGACAATCGGTAGCGTGAACTTTCAATTTCAATGCAGCTCCGAGAGCACCAACGGCACCGGGGTGCAAGGCGGACAAATCCCCGAATTGATTTTTTACGGACCGCCTTCCGACGACTGACGGAAAACGGAATATATATAGTTTAATTAATTAATACTTTGCGACGAAAAAAAAAAAAAGAAAATAATAAAAAATAATAAAAAACCGAATTATTCGTTGCAAATTTGCTAAATTCTGGAAAGAACATATTCAATAGGTACGACTCTATTTTGAACTGAATATTTTCAGACTTCGAATTGAAATGTTTCTTAAATATTCTCGATATTCGGTTATATTAATATAACATAATAAATATTATATTATATAATATTTATAATTAATAAATTATTATTAAATAATTTATTATAACATTATTATTCATTATAATATAATATAATGAATATGTATTATATTATAATAAATATATATAATAAATATTCAATTTATTCTAAAAATAAAAACTTTTATGAAATTTTGAAAGACGGATATTTGAAAATAAATACATAATTGGAGACGAGATTGTGTATTTTCAGGAAATATAAAAGGTTGACAAAACGTTAAATCGGAAAAAAGCTATCTATCTCTTCTGTTGTAAATATAATTAATTTAAAATGTTGACGTGAAATTATTATATTAATGTGCGAAATTATTTCTAATATAGAAAGATTTTCAAGTTTGAGACACATCTCATATATCCCTGTTAACTATTTTATTAATTTAATAAGATTATATTCATCGATCTTTGTATAATTTATAATACATGTCAAATTTCACCTATTTTATTTTGTTATTATTAATTATAAATTTTTCAGAAAATGTGATCAAAGCGTAATACTAAAGTTGTTTCAATATAAAACAGCTGTAACAAATTTTAACGTATATTCAATATATTACTGAACTTAAAACGTAACTTGTTCAAAAATTATATTTTCGTAGAAAGCAAAGAGCTATTATATACAGTATTATGTCATCTAAAAAAAAAAAAAAAAAAAAATTAACAATTATATTTAAACTTAGATTCACGTTAGTTAGGAATTTTTTACATATTTTCGAAAATTATATTCATCGATCTTTGTATAATTTAGAATACTATATATTTGGTGTTTAAAATTTGTCGCTGATATCATTATTTGTATTGTACAAAAATTTAATTGTATATATTTAATTGTATATATATAAACACTATAATTTAATTATAACTTTGAAAAATTTTTTAAATGTTCCATCATCTTATTCGAATGAATTCATGTAATCAATTTTAGATTAAAAAAAATGTATTTACATTTTTTATATTTCCTTATTCGATTTTATTGACTGCACTTTTATTTGACTTGTTAAAAAAAAATTGTTTTTTTACGTGAAAAAATTGTTTAAACATTGTAAATATCTGGAATATAATATGATGTAAAATGTAAAGAAAAGAGAGATGTTTCTATTTAAAATATCACACAATAACTAAACACTTATAATACTTAGTCTTTTTAATATAGAAGATATAAAAATTTTACGTGAAATTATAAATACTTCGTATTACTTAACTATGTAGCTATGAATATTGTTAAATAATATTCTGAAGATATAAATCACTAATTTTAAATGCGACTGATATAATTAATACTCTTTGGTATTTACTAATTTTGATATTTTTTTAAAAAAGACTAACAATAAGTATATAATAATTTTTATGTGTTGTTATAGATTTATTATTAAAAACTTAATATTTTTTTATTGCTACTCTATACTTATTGTTATTAACATTAATTTAATATTATCTGCCAGAATCTGATAAGAATAATAAAAACAAAAATAAATAAAATAAAACATTGAAATATTACACGTTTCAGAAAGTTAAATATAGGTTTGATTATTACTCTAAACAATTAAATTATAATCTATATATCTTCCATCTTTTTTTAATACTTAATGCACTTTATCTAATATGAAATTATATTAGTAAGTAATTATAGTTTTTCCCTCTCTTATTTATCATTGTATGAGTTTTTAAACAAGAATCATTTTAGAAAAACATTAGAAAGGTATCTTATGAATATTAGAGAAAGGTACCTTACACACACGCACACACATACACACACACACGCATGCACACGCACATGTCACAAAAAAATGTGTATATGTGTATATATATATATATATATGCTTTCTACGTTTCTAATTATTAATTTGAAATGAATTTAGAATTGATCTTTTCTGATCTGAAAATTAGCTTTAAAAAAATTTTCGTAAACAAAATCTTACATTAAGAAACTATATGAGAACAATTAAGAAATATTTTGAATATAAAATGAAATGCATAAAAAAACTGACAAATATACAAGATATTGCTTATAAAATTATTTTTTCTTGTAAAGAAAATATTCTTATAGCGCAAGACGCTAGATGACGGAGGAAATCTGAGCATTTTTAGAAACAAGACAATCTTATAGAGAAGCTTTATAAGAATTTATACAATTTTAATATATAGAGTGTTCGGTAATAACGCATGACTTCTAGTATACAGATAGTAGAAGGGTCAAATAGAGTAGAAAAGTCCTTTACCATTTTGCGATTTTTTCCAATAATTAATAAGAAATTAATTTTTTTTAAATCAGCAAATCCGGTGCGAGAAGAGGTAGCTTAATCGTGGAACTCCTCCGATTGCTCCTCTCACCGCTCCTTTCTCGTCACGTGATTGGCTGATTTTTTATATTAATTTCTATTAATTTTTGCAAAGATTGAAAATAAAAGACATTGCCATTCGGTTTAATTCATTTTATCTATATACGAGAAATCCGGCGGCTATTACCGGATATCTTGTATACAGAGTGTCTAATTTTAATCGACTACCTCCAAAAACTTTTATTTTTGATTGTACAATAAATTGTTTCAAACAAAAATTGTTTGATTTAAAGTGGGACAAAAGATAACGCTACTGATTTTTTTCTGAAGGACGCTTTTCAAGATCATTAAAGGTCAAAATATGTAATTTGCAACTAGTAGCTACATACTTTTTTTATAAATTGTCTTTTATAAACTGTGCTTCCATTATTTTATGCATAAAAGTATTGTGATAAAATCATAAAAAATATTTTACTCGCATCTTGTAGTTTATGTACTTAAAATGTCAAATTAAAGTATCAAATTAAAATATCTCGTAAACTATTCATTTTTTTACCATTTCATCTTTATAACCTTTTATGGTGAATATTGCGAGAAATCGATTTATATAAAATCGAAAAAAAAAGATCTTCGAATGATCTTGAAAAACGTCTTTTAGAAAAGTCAATAGCGTTATCTTCTGTTTTTTTTTTAATCAACTTTTATTTATAATATATTGTACAATCAAACAAAAAATTTTTGAATCCATTCCATTAAAATTGAACATCCCGTATAAAAAAATTGTACATTAAAATTCAATTCTTTCATACTATTTGTAACATTATTTTTAATATATAGGGTGTTTCTACACTGGCGATAAAGATTTTAATAGTATATTAGTTAACAAGTGCGGAGGATCGTAAATCGGCCGAGAGTGAGAAAGTTTGGCGCACGAGGCGAAGCCGAGTGTGACAATCCGCACGATCGGCCGATTTATGACCCGCACATGTTGGCTACGATATTTTGTGTGACCGGTGCGTGAAAAGGGAGCCCTTTCTAAAATCCCATCATGTGCGTAAAGAGCGACTTTTCGCGCGCCGGTTGCACAATAATTTTTAATAAAGATTTTACAAATTTTCTGTAACATTTCAAGACGAAAATTCTAATCATAGGCAGCGCCAGCATTTTACATGGGTGGGTCATATTTATTATTACATATATTATGTATTAATTTTTGTTCGATTGTTTGGCTAAAAATGGCTTCAATCTAGTCTCTGGAATAAGCCGAACATAGTATAAAATTAACTATGAAGATAGAATTTAAAATTAATTGTAGAATTTTAATAATAAAAATAACTTCATATAAAAAAAGCTGAAAACTTGGACAGAATAAGATAGCATAATTATGCTAAAATTTTTTTAATGTCAGGGTGAGCCAAAGGATGGGTCAGGATCCACTTTTGGCGCCGCCTATGATTCTATCTAATACGAAAATATAGTATTTTTAAATAAGAAAAGTTTAAAGCTTATGAATGACAGAGCTAGAATTTCACGCATTCAAGGATAACAAAATGACAAAGTGATCAAGATGCTTCCATGAACCTATTTCCTAGAAGTAAAGTATTATTCAGGATTAATACTTAGAGGTTTTTTTTTAACTGAACTGGTTGCACTAGTTCTCTCAGAGTATTTATTTTTCCTTCCAATGTGGAGTATTATACAGGGTGGACCATTTTAATCCACACAAATATCTTATAAAGTAAGCAAAATAGAAAAATATGTTTTATACAAAAGTTGGAGGGTTTAGAGGAGGATCATCTGACGGTGACCTTGGCTTTGACCTTAATGGCAAATTTAAAGGTCAACTTGATTTTCTTAAATAAAACCACCAATTTTTCATATCATATTCTGATAGTTGATGTCGAGACCTTTCCAAAATACTATAATAAAAATTTTTCTATTAAGCACTTTTTGAGTTATACAGGTTTAAAATTAACAATTTTTTCACAAAATGCTTTTAAAAAAATATGTTGCAAATTACAAATATCCTTTTTAAAGCAACTATGTTTTCTTTACATGGATTAATTAGTTTCATTATTCCGTGGATAAAAGTATTAAGGTATGATTACCGAAAATTAAATATTGTATTTTGCAAGACATTTTATGTCAAAAAATTATTAATTTCAAACCTTTATAACTCAAAAAGTACTTAATGAAAAAATGTCTTATTATAGTGTTTTGGAAAGGTCTCGACATCAGCTACAAGAATATAATATGAAAAATTGGTGGTTTTATTTAAGAAAATCAAGTTGACTTTTAAATGACTTTCAAATTTGACATCAAGGTCTAAGCTAAAGTCAGGTGTCCCCTTCTAAATCCTGCAACTTTTGTATAAAACATTTCATTTTATAAGATATTTGCATGGATTGATTAAAATGGTCCACCCTGTATATATTCAATATAAAGATCTTAGTTTTGCGAAAATTTTTTTGGAAATTCGGTAATTTTTCAAAATAATTCTTTGACATACAAGTCATTTTAAAAT